GAAGATCCAGAGCTGCCATGGCATGGGGATTTCTAAGGGAACACAGCCTGTTTTCTCCATTGTGAGAGTTACGGGGCTGCTCCATATGTGGGGGAAAAAAGGGGCCAGTCCTTAATTTGGGCCCTCCCCACTGCAGTGCTGCGGATCCATCTGGAAGGCCTCCCTGTTTGCCATGGCAGGTGGAGTCTGAGGCAGGCCGTGAACTTTCTGGAGAGGCAGACCAGCCCCTGTCTGTCACCGAGGATCAGCTGCTCTCTAACAGATTCTGCCAGGAAGGGGATGATGGGAGAGTTATCCTCCTGGATAAGGAGGGATATACTGCTTATGCGTGATATCTGGGAAACCTGCAACCCCTCCTGAGCTGTGGCTCTTTTAGAAAAGGGACACTATTATTTATTTAGCAGATCAAACACAGACATAAAAACAAAGCAAGTCATAAGGGGTCCCCTGGGCCACCCAGGCCATCTAGTCTGACCCACAGCTCCAGCTGGCTCCACTCATGCAATCCCCAACATGTGGTTGTCCAATCTTTCCTTGAACATCCTCACTGATGGGGCCTCCACCACCACCCTTGGAAGCCCATTCCATCTCCTAGTGGTCCTAACTTTCAGGAAGTACTTCCTGACATCCACCCTGAATCCCAGTTTCTTGAGCTTTGCCCCATTGGAGCATGTCCTTTCTTCCACCACAGGGGAGAACAGGTCATGACCCTCTTCCACATGTCATCTCATCACATACTGATAAGTCACTAAAAGATCCCTTCAGAGTTTCCTCCTCTCTAGGCTGAAAAGACCCAGTTGCCTCAATCTCTCCTCATACACCATCCCTCCTGACCAGACTACCATTCTTGTGACCCTGCACTGAACCAATTCTAACCTAACTAAGTCTCTCCTATAATGTGGATCCCAGAAGTGGATGCAGGACTCTAGCTTTGGAAGCACCACAGTCCTGTAAAGCAGTATCAACACGTCCCTAGATCTGGAAGCCAAGCTTCAACTGTACATCCAAGGATGGTGTTTGCCTTCTTAACCATTACATCACACTGCCAGCTCCTGTTCAGATATCCAATTCGGCTCTAGTTGTTGGCTAAGCATAGAAGGTAGAACAGTTCCTCCCTTACAGACAAAAATATAGTAAAATGTATTGGCAGCTTGGAGGTTTCCATTGTGCTTCTTCACAATAACTGATTCCATTTAGTCTCTTTCCCATCATCATGAAACCACAGAACTGGAGGGCAGCTGGGAAATCATGTTGCCTAAAACCCTTCTCTGGGCACTGCAGAAGGCTGAGGACCTTTTCACATTTGACCTTGTCAAACCAGCTCTCCCCGTCCAGTGACTGTGTCTTTGACTTTTTTGCATTAAATGTAAAGCTTTACCGTTATCTCTGCTGACTCTCATCCTGTCAGATGCAGCCCAGGATTCCATCCCACTTAGAAAGTTATGAATCCTGATTTTCTCTCCCGCAGCAGTGAGTATTGTTCTAGCCTTGTTTCATCTGCAAATATAAGCAACACTCTGCTCCCTTATCTATATGTGTATTCAATATCTCAGGACTTAGGGCAGAGCTTTGTGGCACTCCACACAAAACATCTTGCTGATTATCACTTGCATGCTGTTGATAACCTACTGTGGATCCATGCAATTACAGCACTGTTCTTCACAGCAACAAGGATAGATTTCAAATTCCTTGTTGAAAACAAGATATACTATGTACACAGCATTCCCACAATCTACTGAAACCATTGAAGATGGAGGTAAGATATTTTTGCCATGATTTCCTGACAATCCCTGTTGATTTCCAGTAAGCAATACATTATTTTCTGGAGGCTCACAATTGTGTGTTCCAGAATTTTGCCAGCAATTCTGCCAGCTCCACTTGTTCCAGGAACCCAAAGCCTTGTTTCTCTGGGAGGCCCTGCAAGATGCGAGGGAAGATCTGAAGAAGGGGGATTTGCTCCTTCCCTCCCTTCTGCCTCCCAATCCCCTTCTCCCTTCCAGCTGTGCTTTAGGCTGGGTGAAGCAGGCCCAGCTGTGGGACATTTGAGTGGGATTTGCAAGGCATGTTGTGAACTGTAGTTCACAGCAGGAGGATAACAGTGGGGGAGATGCCTGATCCACAACAAGGGACGTACATCTTTTTGGTTTTGCTTGTATTCATTTTGCTGCTCAGGCTTCACCCGATCTTTCAGGAACTTGGATAGAGTAGGGACACAGCTTTTCTAGGCTGGCTGGGTACATTTAAATCAGGTGCATTTATCTCATTGGTTTAATACTGGTATGTGTTTGTGTTGAATCTGTCCAAGTATAAAACTCTTTTGCTATCACTGATACTTTCACAGCTGGTTGGGTCATCCATCCCATGTGGCAACTTCCCCATATCTGAATGGGGTTGCAGGAAACCTTGATTGATCGAAAGGCTGGTTTCGTGGAGACAGCCTGAGAAATAGACAAGAGATGAGATGCAGGTGCATTTATCTCATTGGTTTAATACTCTCTGCCCTCCTGCCTCAGCTGGATTTCCAGGTAAGGCACAGGTAGGAGTAGCTGGATGAATCATGAGAGAGAAAAGCTGAAAGGGCTGTTTTTCCTCCCAGTCCCTCCACTTTGAATTGCTGCCCCCAGCAAATATTCCTGATCAACATCCACTGTGGGTATCCTGAAGTTTCTGCTTAAAACTGAAATGGGGGAAAAGCTCCCCGAAGGACTTGCTCCGGGAGGTGCTCTCTTTAGGTCTGTGCATGAACGCACACACAAAGACATTGCAAGAAAAACCTCATCTCTATTTTCCGATTTGTACTTGTGAAGCAAGAAAGCTCTCCCCCAGTTCAGGCATTCAGGTCATCATGTGTGTGAATGAGTAACAGGAGGGAAGGGAGGAAGAAATAGATGAAGAAATTCAGTATAAATAGGAAGAGTTTAGAAGTCAAATGCTTATCTAGAAAATGGAGGGCAAGAAGTTGGGGAGAAAGGAGAATATAGTTAGAAGGGAAAATCCTAAGGGAGAGAACAAGTAGAAAGATGCAGGAGATGAAGGCATGAGAAAAAGAGGGAGAAAAGGGAGGGGGAACTGATTGGCAAAGCCAGACTGGTGACATTACATGCAGAAAAACAGACATGGTTCACCTGGTTTGTCTGGATGCACAGATCCCTGGTTGGGACCTCAGCTGAGCATCAAGAACCCTTTGGGTGTTTTGTCTTTTCTGCTTGTACATTCAGACTTCTGCTTACGGGCAGCCCCATATAGCCTGGAATGCAGACATGGGGGGTCGGGGGGAGAAGGGATTAAGAATATTCTGGTGCAGGCAAACAGAGAGACCCTGCGGGAGAGTGGGCTGGCCGGCTGGCCTCCCTTGCACTCTTGACATGGCACGGCCGGGCGATGGCCTCCTCATTCCACGCAGGGAGGATCCTTCAATGAGAGACGTGTGCTGGCACTCCAGTCCCAGAATCCACTCCCACCCTGTCCCATGTGCCGAATGGCCTGGCGAACCCCAGGAAGCCTCCAGCCCAGCCTTCCCCACCCCTCGTGCCTTCCAGACAAGTTTGGACTGCAACACCCTAAATACACAGTCAATGGCCCTGCTGGATGGAAATTCTGGAAGTGGGGTCCAAATGCCTCTGACAGTCACCGGGGGTGGGGGTGCTACAGCCTCAGTTTCCCACCTGTGATTCATCTTGTTCTGAGGAGCAAATACAGGATATAAGATGAAAACATACGTGGTTTTATTACTCAACAAATGCACTGACAGTTACACGAGATACTGAAAAAGTAGCAACAGGAACTTCACCAATTACGTTCTTGTAATCCATTCAGGAGAAAGCTCTGCAGGCCTTAGAGATTTTTGCTTCGTTGTCTGTCTTCTGGGTGGATCAAGATCCTTTGGGTTCATGTCCAATTTCTGCAACTCGCCTAAAGTTCAAAGGACCCCTCAGCACAAGCCTGGCATATCTTGATACAACTGCAGCTGCAGAGATGCCCCATATAAAAAGAATACAGAGGCCTTTGGCAGACAGGAATCCCCCTCTCCCGATTTTCCCAAAGACAATGTCCATGCACTGGGACAAGTCCAATAAAGCAATTAGGAACATCCAGGTAAAACATGCAATTAATAGCACCAGTCCGCCATATAAAAAGGGTTGCCCCACAACTGTTAAAATCAGCTCCCCTAAAATGCTTAAAAGAGACAACAGGACACAAAGCCTGAAGCAGGAATGCACATGTCACATCTGGCCTCCCCAAATCCTGGTCCCAGAATTGTCCTTGCGTAAATTCTCTGATTTGCAGTAAGCGCTATATTTGTCCCTGCACACAGTGAATTCGTATGGCCTATTCTTTGATGCAGCCTTCATAAAACGGTAGCATTAAAACCATCCTGGTAAAACATTCAATCAGTCCAGTCAATGAGCCTCAGCACCCAATTCAGGGAGCTCCACAGCACACGTCCAGTCCAAGAGCCCCCCTTCATGAGGTCACTTTCCAACTCAAACACAGACACTTTCGCATGGCCTAAGCAGGTACCCTCTGGATCTTGGAAGACCAAAATTGGGGAAAATGCATCCTCACATGGCATGGAAGAGTGTACAGGGGCCGAATGCTGGACCACATTCCAGGCAGCCCGGAGGTTTCCCTGCAGTGTGCATTCTCACGTCCATGGAGGCCTGATTCCCCGGCCAAACACGCCCTTCAGGCTGTGCCTGTGTTGGATCTCCAATCTTTATGTTACGGGTTGGAAGCTTTGCTAGTGGATGAACATCTTCTCTGGCCCTCAGTGTGTATATGAAGCCTCCTCTTTTCAAATACTGCGATTTGTCCTAATGCAGTGATTAAAGGGATGCCAAAGCTAATTAGAAGAGGATAGAAAAGGTGTTTCTCCTGGGTGAAATTGTTCATCCTGAGGAAGTTTGAAGACCAGACTGTACCGCTTTCCACATTAGGGTAAATTCACTGAATTTCAGGCAGTTTGGAGCAATGACTTAAGTCCTTTCTGCATTACTCACCTCATGAGGCTTCTCCCCTGCATGAACTTGCTGATGTTGTTCCAGGTCTGTCCTGTGACTGAAGCTCTTTCCACATTCATTGCACTTATGGGGCTTCTCCCCTGTGTGAATTCGCTGGTGCCGTGCAAGGCCTGCATTCTGTGCAAAGCTCTTTCCACGCTCTTTACACTTGTACAGTTTCTCACTTGAGTGCAGGGCCTGATGTTTTCTAAGGAGGTTACCCTGTCGGAATCTTTTCCCACAAACGTTGCACTCAAAGGGTTTCTTCCCTGAGTGAATTAGCCGATGCTGTGCAAGGCCATTCTTCTGAGCAAAGCTCTTCCCACATTCTTCACACTTGCATAGTTTCTCCTGGGAGTGCAAGAGCTCATGTTCCCTCAGATTGCTGGCCCACCTGAAGCTCTTTCCACAAATGTTACACTGAAAGGGCCTCTCCCCTGAGTGAATTCGCTGATGTTTGGTGAGGGATGAGCTCCTCTTGAAACCCTTTCCACATTCATTGCATTTATATGGCATCTCTTCTGAGTGAAAGTATTTATGTTTACTAAGATTAGAACTCCAAGCAAAGCTCTTTCCACATTCGTTACACTTATACGGCTTCTCTCCTGAGTGCAGGTATTGATGTTGTATTTGAACAGAAAGCCTTCTGAAGCTCTTTCCACAAACATTACATGAAAAAGGCCTCTCTTCTGAGTGAATTTGCTGATGTTGTGTCAGGTGTGCGCCCGTCTTGAAGCTCTTTCCACATTCATTACATTTATACGGCTTCTCTCCTGAGTGCAGGTATTTATGATGTGCAAGATTGGAAATATACCTAAAACTCTTTCCACAAACATCACACTGATAAGATTTCTCTCCTGAGTGCCCTCGTTGATGGTATAGTAGGTGTGAGTGCCACCTGAATCTCTTTCCGCCCACCAAGCATTTGTGGCTCTTTCCTTTCCAGCCTTCCTCTGGACTCCCAGCAGGGCTTTTGCTCATCGGGG